CTATATAAACACTGGATAATTCTAAGTGTACATAATTTAGTTTACCAAATGGTTTACCTACTCTCACAAGCACGTGGACCCCGTGTGAATAAAATAATCTCAACATGTGGTCCCCACACCCCTATTGTAAGTGTATGTAAAATATTAGATAAAAAAAAAATTAGGTACATCTAGCATGGTCCATAAACACCACAAGATAATGCTACAAGTACTCCCTTATCTACCGAATTCTTTACAACCTGCTGAAGTGGCAAAGTTTTGAATTGTCAAAATTTCGGCTGGAAGGAAGGAAATAAAGACATGAACAATGCCCCAAAAAAAAAAAAAAAGTGAAAGGGATTGCGCCTAAATTTCCCCCCAAAATCCATATTCCCAAATCAGGTGAAATTTACCTTCCAACTTCGAAATCAAAGGTGACCAAAAACTTAGCCATCTACAGTAAAAACGGAGTCATGCTTGAACCTGTTGGATGACGCAGGCAACTTTGACATTGACGGCGACAGGAGGCCGTTATGCCCATATTCTGCTGTCAGAGATGACATTGAAGCAGACGACTTCCAGGCCGGCAACCTTGACCTCGACAACAGCATGGGTAAGATTTATTACTAACCTTGACATATACTACTAGCATCCAATGGTTCTCATTATTAACTTGAAATCTACTTAACCTGGGAGGGGGCTGGGAGCTCAACTATGTATGGGATGTCTTTCTTGAATAAGATAAATACTCATACCCGGGAGGGAGGCTGTCAGTTGAACTATTATTGCTCTTATCTAGAAAAATATTGTGGAAGTCCGCAATTTTAAGCTGAAGTGTAAGAGGAAAAAATTCATTTCTTAGTGCAGTAGAAATAATTTTTTGACTGAAAAACAGTGAGTTAATAATGGACCCAACTTTTGCCTTGCCCAGTTACAATCATCTATATTTGAATGATTTTGAGCAAACATAACTATTATTACCTGCTTCTCATCAATGTAGATTATCTGCAAATTCCTTTAACTGAAGATGACAATCCGAATGATAGTGGCATAGGTGAAAAAACGAAAATTATTGAACCCACTGTTGGAATGAAATTTAAAGATGAGAATGAGGTTTTCGAATTTTATAAGCACTATGCTTACCAAATTGGCTTTCCTGTGCGAAAAAGGAATTCAAAGAAGGGTGATGACAGAGTTGTTCGTTATGTAACCTTGACATGTAATCGGGAAGGCCGTCGAACTAGTGGTACAACTACAGTTTTGAAGCCTCAGGCAACCATGCAAACTGGGTGTAAAGTAAGATTGATAGCATGTTCTGAACTTACTGGGGATGGCGTATTAACACTGTCCACTTCGAGCATAATCACAAAACAAGCCCATCCAAATCAAGGCTATATCGATGTAATCGCCAAATTAATGCACACGTGAAAAGGCAGCTTGAAATTAACGACATTGCTGGAATACCATTGCACAAGAGTTTTAACTCAGCCGTAGTTGAAGCTAGTGGGTATGACAAGATTGCATGCATTGAGGAAGATTGTAGAAATTTCATTGACAAAGTCCGACGTTTGAAACTTGGTGAAGGAGACGCGGTTGCAATACAAGCATATTTTTCCAAAGATGCAAGCGATTAGTCCTGGCTTCTATTTTAGTATAGACTTGAATGACGAAGCCCGACTACAGAACATATTTTGGACATATAACAGGTGTAGGCGAGCGTGTAAGGAATTTGGTGATGTAGTCACATTTGACACCACATACTTGACTAATAAGTACGAAATGCCGTTTGCTCCATTCGTTGGGGTGAACCATCATGGACAATCAACTCTTATAGGATGTGGTTTTCTCTCAAATGAGGATACAATGACTTTCGTATGGCTATTCAAGATATGGCTTCAATATAGGCATGATCAAGCCCCACATGGAATTGTTATAAATCAAGACCGTGCTATGCGAAATGCAATTGAAATCGTGTTTTCGAACACAAAACATAGATGGTGCTTGTGGCATATAATGAAAAAGTAACCCGAAAAATTTGGTGGGCATAGACATAAAGCTCAAATTCTTCATGTTTTGCATTGTTTGGTATATGACGTCCACAATTGTGAGAAATTTGAGCAAGGTTAGAAAAAGATGCTCGAAGATTATGATTTACACGAGCATACTTGGTTATCAGGTCTATACAATGAAAGAATTCGATGGGTGCCATGTTATTTGAAATCTTCATTTTGGGCGGATATGTCAACCACACAACGGAGTGAGGGTATTAACGCATTTTTCAATGGGTATGTTCATTCGAAAACATCCCTAAAGCAATTTGTAGAGCGGTCTGAGCGTGAGTTGCGAAGTAAAATTGAGAAAGAATTTCAAGTTGACTTTAGATCATTTTCACAGATGGTCCCATGTGCGATAAGGTACGAAATGGAGAAACAAGTCCAATCGGTTTACACAATCGCAAAGTTCGAGGAATTCTAGGAAAAGTTCACCGGAAAGGTATATTGTGAAGTTCTATGCGCTTATGATTCATACATGCATACTATATGTGATGTACGTGAAGACATTATTTTGAATGACTGTATAAAGATATGTATTTTTAAAGTGCGGCTACGTACGGATGAGTGTGATTTCGAGTGCAGCTGTCACTTATTTGAGTTCAGAGGAATAGTTTGAAAGCATGTGATTGTAGTTTTGATACGCAATCAGGTGAAATTAGTTCTCGAGAAGTACATATTGCGTAGATGGAGGAAAGATGTCAACAAACCATACACAAGGGTTCCGATAAACTACGATGGTTGGATTAGTACTCCGGACCAGGTTAGATATGAGGAATTGTGCAGTGCACTTACGAAATTAGCTGACTTGGTAGCACATGACCAATCTCGATCCCAAGGAGTTATGGAGTGGATTGAACTCCAAATAGTAGAGGCCTCAACGTTGAATCCTACAATGATGAGCTCCCAAAGCTTTGATGAATCAGGAAAGAGTGGTGGCGGAATCATCTTCGACCCGAAATATACGAAGAGAAATGGAGCTCCAAAAAAACTTCGTCGGAAGGGACATCTCGAAAGTAGTTCGAAGACAAAAAGATGTTATCGTAAGGTATAAAAACTTCATGCCTTTTATTATTTTCTTCTCATTTGCTCAGTAGTTCTACACTTATTGAATCATAATGTTACTTCCCATGTTTTGTAGGTGGTATCGAAATCAAGTACATCGAAAAGACAACGAAACGACGATACATCTGATGTGATCTTGAGTCAACCAAGGTCAATCCCGAGTGCGAAAGTCATGGAGAAGGCTCAAAGGGCTTGATCGAGGAACATTCGAGTTAAAGACAATGCACAAAGCCATACAAATGTGTGTTCGAGGAACGAAGTTCAAAAGGGTAAAGTTGGCAAGCCAAGGGTCCAGTTCCGTTTTGGGGACAGAGCCGAATAATCTTGGAACCGATTGAATTGAAGAGCCACAATTGGAGTTAGCCGACTACTATGCGACCGTATAGTAGTCCCAGCCTTGCGGTATATTGCGGTTGCATACATGGAGACGAGGAAATTAGCTGAGTGAACTGCTTCTTCTATGCGGTCGCATCCAATTGTGCTATGTGACCGCATAGCACATTTTCGAGCTAGAAATTTCCTTTTTTCGTGAGATTTTTAATTTAGATATAGTTCTTATTTTTGGCAAGTCTATTATGTTTGGACTCTTAAAATTTCGTTTTTCCATTAATTTAGGATTTAGGTATAAATTGTAATTTTTCCATTCATTGTAAAAAGACTTTGATATTTTGAGAATTAATTCAGAGAGACAAATTGCTTCCAATCCTGGTTCTGGCTGAGCAAACCGAACTTATCAAGATTTCACGATCTTGTGGCGTTCAAAACTCGGGTAAAATTCAATTAATCTTGTAATCAAAAGGTCCTTCGTGTCTTTGTTACCTTGGGGTTGTTTGGTTCAATTATTAATTGGGTTAAGTCCAAAATCCGGATTAAGTTAGTAAATTTCGTGATCAAAAGGTTAATAGTTTGATACACTATTGATTGTTTGGTCCGCAGATTTGTGAATCACGTCCAAAACTTTGTTTTCTGGCTTTCTTGAGATTTATGTCATTCTTCTGTGGGTTCGTTAGTGTTAGTTGCTACCGGGTTCACATCAGGTGGCATCAGAGCTTTAGGCACCAAATTCAAAGTTATATCCTTTTGATTTTCTTTGTTTTGAGTCTTTGTTTGTATTTTTCGTCGTTCTTAGTGTTTCCTTAGTTTTTTTGAGTTTAGATCTAAAAAGTTTTCATAGTTTAGTTGTTTTGTATTTTGGGTAAAAAAAAATTACTATTCACTGTTCATCCGTACCGTACCATCATCACTGTTCACGTGTCCCAAAAAAATTGTCTTAGTCCTTTAACTTCTTGATTATTGAGTCTTGCACAATTAATTATTATTCCACGAGTTCAAAGACACATATTGTTCTTGAGAACACCGACTGGAAGCAATTGAGAGGTAAAAGGTTGAGTGGTGAGTTTAATTGAGGGCAAAAGCCTGAAATTGTGCGATTCCTGAGTGAAAAATTTGGTGAGGCAAAAAGAAATTGTGAGAATGTCAGAACGAGAAGCATCCAATACGAACAGAATGGGAAATCAATCCAACATGCAGGATGATTTAATACAAGAATTTGAGCAGATGATGATAAGTATGGAAAGTAGGTTCGAAAGCAAGTTGGACAGGGCCGTTAGTCGGGGACAACGGGCAGACATACCACATGCTAGTAGACCGGTTAGACGAGAGCCTAGGGTGGAGTTGCAAAATGAGTATGGGTATGGTAGTGATTGTGATGAGGATGAGTTTGAAGAAGTTGACATGGGGAGGAGGAGGAATAGAGGTGATAGGTTTGAACAGAGGGGTAGGAACAATGTTGGAGGTGATGTTGATGAAGGTATGGGCAGCACAAAAATGTCCATTCCGACATTTTGGGATAGAAGTGACCCGGAGGCGTTTCTTGAATAGGAGAAGAATGTGGAATTGATATTTGAGTGCCACAACTATTCGGAGGAGAAGAAAGTGAAGCTGGCAGTTTTGAAGTTCACTGATTACGCCATCACTTGGTGGGATCAGGTGATCACTTCAAGGCGGAGGAATGGGGAGAGATCAATCCGAACATGGGATGAGTTGAAGGCAGTTATGAGGAAGAGGTTTGTACCCAACCATTACCATATGGAGCTTTATCAATGGTTGCAGGGGCTGTACCAAGGGTTGATGAGTGTGGAGGATTACCATAAAGAAATGGAAATTTTAATGATTCGGGCTAAAGTAGAGGAGGATCGAGAAGCCACCATGACACGGTTCTTGAATGGGTTGAATAGGGATATTGCTAATGTGGTGGAGTTGCAGCACTATGTGGAGTTAAAGGATATGCTGCATATGTTAATGAAGGTTGAGAGGCAGTGGAAGAGGAAAGGGAGAGCTAGGAATCAACAGGGGCCAAATTTGTTTGAGAGGTCTAGATGGGATGAGGAGAAGGTTGATGGGGTTGCTAGCAACAATAAAGGTGAACCACCTAAGGGAAAGGATGACAATGTTAACAAGGTTACACCAAAGGCGGAACCACAGCGGTCTAGGAGTCAAGATATCAAGTGCTTGGGAACAGGACACATTGCTTCTCGGTGTCCAAAAAAATGAGCCATGGTTATGAAGGATAGTGGGGAAGTAGTGAGTGACAGTGATGAGGATAGGACGCCCAAGTTGGAAGATGCTAGCGATAGTGAAATAGTAGAATATCCAGTTGATGGAGAAGCGTTGGTGGTGATGCGTGCACTTAATTCACAAGTAAAGGTGGACGAGGAGGAGCAACAGCGGGAGAATATTTTCCACACACCCTGTCACGTGGAAAATAAGGTATGTAATTTAATAATTGATGGAGGTTGTTGCATGAGCTTAGCCAATACCAACTTAGTTGAGAAGTTAGGCTTAAAAATTATCAAACACACAAAACCGTATCGATTGCAGTGGTTGGAAGATCATGGAGAGGTTAGGGTGAAAAAGAGGGTGTTATTGAATTTGTCCATAGGAAAGTATAAGGATGAAGTACTATGTGATCTTGTGCCAATGGATGCGGGGCATATATTGTTGGGTAGACCTTGGCAATACGATAGGAAGGTGAAACATGATGGGTTTAAAAATAGGTACATTTTTTAAATCGATAAAAAAATATTATACTTGTACCTATGACTCCCCAACAAGTGTTTGAAGAACAGTTGAAATTGAAGGGTGATGTGGGGAAAGTGAAAGAAAAACAAAAGGGGAGTTTATATACGAAGAAGAGTGAGCTTGGTGGTGAAAGTGAGTTGGAGGATCCTCACATATCCCTCCCCAGTTTTTATAATTCTTTATTACAAGATTACGATCAATTAGTGCATGAGGACTTTGCTAAAGGGATATCACCATTTGAGTATCTGATTGAGGCATCGCAGCTGGAGAACTTAATGACAAACGATGAAGGGGTGATCAATCATGGCAATGCGAAGTGCAAGGGTCTCAATCAATTGTTGGATAGGGTACAAGCAGATGAAGGGGACACGACCTTTGAACCAAGCACGTATTCGAGGACAAATCCTCCTGAATAGGGAAGGTGAGTCAACCAAGGT